CTTATAATAGGATTCAAATTTTGTCCCAAAATACTTGAGAACTCACTTTTCAATGCACATTTCTCTTCTTGCAATACTCTCCTTATTTTCTGCACACAACAGCTTTTCACTTCTCCTTAATCCCCGTGTCCAAACCTAAAACATCATCTATTCTGGGATGGAGGGAGTACTTCTGATTTGGGTTTTACCGGCAAAGTGATGAACACAAGTAAAAATACCGACTCGTAAAATGGAATATTTTGTGACACCTTGGAAACCAAGGAGGCATACAGATTTCAGGACTTCGATATTGAAAATATCACTCTGCTCAGTAGATGACTCCATAAATCGCTTAGGCCTTTTTGAATGCACATGTATTTACCTCAATCTACATGTGTTGGAATGGTTGTGGTAGAATTTAGTTTAATTTTCACTATAATCCACTTCAACATATGTGGATTGAGGTGAATACATGTACATTCCAACAAAGCCTTACATGGACTATAGCAGCGCAACAACTAATCAGGAACAAATACCTAGGAAGTAAGCGGTACCATGACTGAAATGAAAAAAAAAATAAGGACTCATATTCGCAGGGTAGTCTTATGAAGGGAAAGACTGATTTTTCCTGCTTTGGAACTTTCATAATCAAGTACAACTCCCAAATTACGTTATGTCAAGATAAGTGGTAGGGCAACATGAGTACTTGAGATTGCGAGAACAATTTCCTTGCCTATATAGCATAGTGAGAAACAAACATGACACAATGGCAGAAGTTTTGAGATTCTCCCCACCTAACCTATCATGGCATAGAGATCTTTCAAGAGCAAGATAAATTTCACTGGAACTTACACCTAGATAGGAAGTTCTCGGTGAAATCGCACTATCTAGACATGATATGATCTTTGGCAAATGAGTTATTCCTTATATGCAGTAGGTTATTTATATGGTTATCCATTGGCTTCTTACCTGTCATCACTCGAGAAGCCATACAGGATTTAATTGGGGTGGCATGGTGATAATTAGAGAAGGTGACTAAGGATTATATTTTTCCTTGGTATATAGGTGACCATTTATTCTATGGACTGAATAGTCGCTTGCATGTCTATGTATTCTGCACGCATTCTAAATGCAGAGGTCGAAAGTGGATCTCATGGTGGTTATATACTCAACTCAACGAAACTGTTGGAAATAAGTAAAACCTTCCTTTATCAAAAATAGTATCTCACTGTTATTGGAGATCACATCATCAACCGCAATAGACTTACTAACTTGTAAGAATAATCAAATTAATGCTTAATTGTGACCTGATGCATCTTCAAATTAGAGCATGTTTAATTAGAAGCGAGATTTTTTTTCATTATCTAAAAAATTAAATAGATGATAACATCTTCCAAATTACCATGCTGAGTTTCCATTGCCTTGTGTAATGTGTTAGACCAACAGAATATCCTTATGATGGTACGCATGAATCTGGCTTGTAGTAAAGCTGTTATCTATGTGATGTTTCGACCATACTGGAACAACGCTCTGGATTATTTGGACCACATATTAATTTTATGCAGGTGGATTACATCTTGTTCAGACGATGACATGATACAATCCAATCTACTTGCTGCAAGAACAAAACAATAATAGAACCCCCGTCGTAGTTACCAAGAATTTCAGTTAATTGTACCTATCTGCTGAATGATTCGAAGCAGGACAGCTTGATGAAAAAATGGACCAGTTGAAAGTACTGTTACACACACTGTAACTAGTTTCAAAAAATTGTACTAGCTAGCCAGTTCGGTAATTATGATCGATTAGAACGAAGAATCTTATATAGAAACTGCAAGAGGCCAGAAACTTAAACAGACTTATTATTTTATTTACCAGCCATCAATTTATATTTCGAAAGTGAGTTTGACAACTTTGATGGTGGGCGTGTATAAGGTTAGAAAGAATTTGACCTTGAGTAAGGTTCGACGCAAGCTATGTATAGAAGATGTTCAAAACTAATTCCTTTGAGATCTTTAAACCGGAGATATGAATGAAGATTGTGCCAATGTGGATTACTTTCTTTTCGTGCCATGTCATCATGGTCGATAAAGTTAATTATATGAAGCTGCCATTTTTTCGGTTTCCTATATCCACACGTTACACTCATATTCTCCTTCTTTTGCCAGAGGAAGGAGGAATTATCTTAAAATATGGCATAGTACATCCCTAAATTACACATTAAAAATTTTGAAATTAAAAATATATAATATTCTATCTAGATTCTTTCGTCCCTTTTCTTACGGCTTTCCTTGCAGAACAAAACCTTATTAAACCAGAAGGCAAAGTGCCGAATCCAATTACCAACCCCTAAATATTGGACTTGCCACAAGATCCAACGTTTCGGAACTAATCCAAACGAATCTAATAAATCGATCAAAGAACGTCGACAGTTGCATCGTCGGGTACATCATAGAATGCAGATTTATCACCTTCAATCTTTGATTTCCTCTCCACGACCATCAACAATGATATCGATGACTTGGAGTAACTGCCCTCATTGGGAGTGCTCAGGAGCATGCCTGCCCTTTAGATAATAATGACCACAAATTGACAGTCAATGAAATCATCACAGGTAATAAGATCTCGACAAGAAATTAATTGATTTCGTCAATAGGTTTATTTGGATTAAACCTTAGCGAACTAGATCTAAAGAACTATTGTAAACGAATGATGTGTCCCTCTCCTTGTCTTTTATGAACGAAGTCACCGGAGAGGAAGAAGGAGAGGGGCCCTAGGCAACATTGCCGAGGAGCAAAAGGCGCAGTGGCTTACACTACTACAGAAATAAACTTGCGCAGCGTTGCATAATTGGCCTCCGTGGCGGGCACTGTTTTTGCCCGCCACGGTAATTCGGTGGCCGACCGGCCACTGATACGTCCGCTGCAGTAAATGATTTACGGCAGCAGGCAACCTTATTTGCCCGCTGTGGTAAATCCCCATTTACCGCAGCGGACATCTTAACGCGTCCGCCACGGTAAATCGATTTACCGTGGCGGACCTCTTAATATGCCCGCCACAGAAAATACCTCAGCACGTGATCTGAAGGAAAGAATTAGCCTTCGTGGTGTGGTTAACCGAGCATTGCACGAGTGATAACCTGAAGAGACATGGTGCTACGATTGCAGGATTTGGGTCATTGTGATAGGAAGCCAGATCGTGTGTGCCAAATCTCCTCCAAATCAAGAGTTATCTTTACGTAATAGAAGACCGGGTACCTCGCTCCCATCAAGTAGTAATTAGAGCTTCAGATGTCGTTATCAAGTTCATTCTTTACCCTAATTCAGTCAATTTTGCCATTGTCCTATAAATCCAAAAAAATGCCCAACAAAACTTTGGTGTTCATCATTGTCTCATAAAATGTTTGCGTCTTTACAATGTATTTTATTTGAGTTTGCTTTATTCAATAGTTGTTCCTCGCGGGTTGTCGTGCTCATTGGTTTAATCGAGTCTTGGTGGGGTGGAGTCTTGTTTACAGTTCTGATCCTTCGTATTTTGGTTGTGTCATCACGTGCATCAAGAGTCTGTAGGGAACGCTGGCGGATATTACAGTTTTTTACATAGTGCCGCAAGAGAGAAAGAGAGAGAAGAAGAATTATCCATCACATGTGATACTACTAGTTCTTAAAGTAAGGTCTCCCAACTATTCATATTTATACAATGTGGTACTTTCTGGTAATAAAAAAGTAAAAAGGACAAAAAGATGCAAAGAAAAGGAAGAAAAAGCCACACCAAAAAAAGAAATAGAAATAGAAGTAAAGGAAAAAACATCTTTGAGAAGTGCTCTCATTCTTAGAGTCTGTTGTACTAAGTTGTATTGTTCACCTATCGATGCATGACAAATAAGGGCATGTACAGTCTACGGATGGGGAGTCATCTGGAAACGCTTCGAATCTATCATAGAGACGGATAAAAAGACTGATCCTACAATTCACAAACGGAGGGTTGTCTGTAAATTGTTTAATGTTTTACATGTAGTCCAGATTAATTATGAGTACCATTTTATATATCACTGTGTTGCTATTTGATAGATAAACTATACTACCTTATTGACAAGCAATTTAGGAATACTTGCTTCTGTTATATCTTTACATGTGGATCAAACATAATAAATTATAAAGAATATGCAACAAAAATTCCATGTCAATTATACCAGAGAAATAATTGCAGGTTCCGATTCAGACAGCCTGTTTAGCCCCATCTCGTGATCAAACCATACTTTGCACAGATCGTGTCCAACTTGCCTCTATCCATCAGCTTCAGCTACAGCCTGAACTTGCAAGGAGACTGCCCTGTTACTAACAACTTGTCGAACCTCTTGCCTTAGAAGTGATTGACTTGTGTTGTTACTAACAACATAAGATTGCAGTGGTTATTGTTGTCAAGATCAAGGTAAATAATATACGAGTACTCAGATTCACATAATAGACGATAACTGAAAAAAAAACAGCAGTCCGACCTTCCTCTGTTTGATTCCAGCCGCAATTATTGAAATGAAACCGTAGGATACTGGAACGTTCTGGATTGATGCTCCCTGCCCCAATTATTGAAACCACCCACGCGTATTCCAAACGAAGAAGAGAACTCAAGTACTGAGTACTCCTAGTAGTATATTAAGGAAGGAAAGCGCCTGTCAATTTTGTGATGCAGGACTGTGACATGTAGCTGAACACGTGGAGCCTCGAGAGTGACCCAAGCAAGCAAGAGATTCGACACTTCACACTCATCATCATCAGTTCTCAGCTTGTTCGGGAGGTCGTATCGTATCGTGGATTATTTACTACTGTCTGGTTTAGTATAAGAGAAAAACACTATTCCTGACTGAAAATTTACGATCGTTTACGAGCAAGCGAACAGGCTATCTATCCTCAGCTCAATGCAACTCTGAAATCTCAAGCAAATCATTCGCCTCGTCTCCTTGCAAGCCTCTCATCTGCTCGCCGTTTCCCTCTTTGCGAGGGTGAAGTCTTGGGGCAGCAAAAATGGTGGAGAACGGCGTCAAGCAGCCCCTGTTACAGGGCGGCGACCCTCCTAACGCCGGGCACGCGAAGCCGCCTCCGGGAGCTGGGGCAAGAAGGTTCCGGCGCTGCAGGACGGCGCCGTCCACCGACGCGGCGCAAGATTCTCCTCCGCGGAGCCAGGACGACCCGAGCCTGCAGCGCGGCAGCGCCGCTGGCACCCAGCTGGCGCCGCTCAAGCCCAAGGAGCTCCTGCGGGGCGCGCGGCCGAGCTTCCGGCTCGTCGGCGTCCTCCTGCTGGCGTACCTCCTGGCCGGGACCATCGCGTTCTACCTCGCCATGGACCACATGTCCGGCGACCGCTCCGGGAGCCGCGTGGTAGACGCGCTCTACTTCTGCGTGGTCACCATGACGACCGTCGGGTACGGCGACCTCGTCCCGGCCAGCAACGCCGCCAAGCTGCTCGCCTGCGCCTTCGTCTTCGCCGGCGTGGCCCTCGTAGGCACGTTCCTCAGCAAGGCCGCCGACTACCTCGTCGAGAAGCAGGAGGCACTCCTCTTCCGTGCGCTCCACCTCCGCCGCGCCGACGACCACAGGGCGCTGCGCGCCATGGAGGCCAACAAGGTCCGCTACAAGTTTTACACCGCCGCGGCGCTCCTGGCCGCGTTGCTCGCCTCCGGGATGGCGTTCCTGGTGGAGGTGGAAGGGATGCGCCCCGTGGACGCCTTCTACTGCGTGTGCGCCACCGTGACCACGCTCGGGTACGGCGACCGGAGCTTCTCGTCCGTGCCCGGGCGCGCGTTCGCGGCCGCCTGGATCACCGTGAGCACGGTGGTGGTGGCGCTCTTCTTCCTGTACGCGGCGGAGCTGGCCGCCGAGCGGCGCCAGCGGGCGCTGGCGCGGTGGGTGCTCAGGCGCCGAACCACCTGCACGGACCTCGAGGCGGCGGACATGGACGGCGACCACCGGGTCGGTGCCGCCGACTTCGTGCTGTACAAGCTCAAGGAGCTGGGTAAGATCAGCCAGGAGGAGATCGCAGAGTTCCTGGAGGAGTTTGACGAGCTCGACGCCGACAACTCCGGCACCCTCTCGCCGCACGACCTCATCGTGGCACAGCCCGGTTAGCGCGGCAATCACTGGCGGCCAGCAAGGCAGGTGGACTGAGTCAGCGTCTAGAGTATTCTCAACTAGCGTGCCACAGACGCACAGAGTGCTGTTGGCAACTTTTGGATCTGGGACACGCTGAAAGCTGTAGCAGGGCCAATTCTGTAGCTTTTTAAAAAAAAAAATCTACATTACCTTTCTCAACTCTTACGAAAGTCTGTTTTTTCTCTTTAAACTCTAAAACCAGATAAACCGCATTCCTAAACTTTTAAAATCATACGTTTTATCTCCATTACCGGTTATAGGCGGTTTTCAAAGGTAGTTTTATCTGTTTCTTTTTTATTTATTCTGGTTGAATCTTTAAAAAATTATAGTAAATCATAGAAAAATTATAAAATAGAAAATCCAATTTTGTTGGACTCTACATGAGTAGATTTACACAGTGAACATATAATATAGTATGCTTTAGTATAATTTTTTTGTTGTACTTTAGATCTTTGCTTTTCTATAATTAATTCATAGCTGTAGTTTTTATGGTCCAATTGTGGTGAAATTTTTATGGTGTATTAATTATTGTATGTTTGAAATGTAATAAAAATTTCATACTTATTGGATCATATATAACTTATTAGTTACAGATTTATTTAGGTGTATGCTTGTTAAAAAGTATTTATAAATCTACCTCTGATCTACCAACTCCACTATAGAGTAGTTTCACTCTAAATTTACATCTTCCACTATAGAGTAGTTTCACTCTAAATTTACATCTTAGAGCTCCACACTAGAGCAGATTTGTTTGGTGTGCAGTGTGACTCCAACTCCCAAAATAGGAGGCTTTGCTGTGAAAAGATCTAATATGCTCATGGATTATGTTTGGTGTATGTTTTGATTTTTGTAAACATATGTCAATTGTAATTGTAGCTAATTTAAAGCACTTATGATGGTGAAAAAACACATATAAAAAACCGGACCAAAACCAATACCTAGTTAAATTAGGATCAGCAGCCCCAACACAAGGGAGTTGCAAAAAAAACTCAACACAAGGGCAAGATTATGGCATATCCACGAGTAAGAAAAAACAACAACAACACGTCCTAGCACAAGGGTTAAATGTGGCACAACCATAAATGCAACATTAAAATAAAAGGCTGCAACACTAAGGCACAGGGGATTCTTCGACGATGCCTCCAAGGAGGTCGTAATCATCGTTGACCAAGCAGGAACTTGGCATGGCTTTCGCCAGAGTCTTATGTCGAGGAGTAACTATATTGATCGGGCCAACCAAGGAGAGGAAGCAGTAAGAGGTTCTTCAGTGACGCTGTCGGGTTCATAAACCCGGGGTCCCTTAGGGACCCGCTTCCACGTCAGGGCTCGGCCCGAGAAAACAGCATGTAAGTCATGGGCCGGCCCAAGAGTCTAAAAAACAACGGGCCGGAAGGACAGTCTGATCGCCGACCGGAAGGTCTACCCAAAAGGACGAGCGCCCGCTCGACAACTTCTTCGGCCCACCTCTCCGACCGGAGCGCTCGCTTCGGGCACCAGCCGCCTCCGGGCGGTCTCTCCGATCGGAAGGCCTGGGGCAAAACGCTGCTTCCTACTCCGACCCCGCGACTCCGACCCGGGACCCATAGGAAGCCTGCTTACCGCACTTCTCCGACTGGCGCGGCCAGGGCCGACTGGGGCCATCCGACCGGGGACGTCCGCTCGGAAGGGACCAGGGGCGAACGGAGAAGGCAGCGCGCAAGTCAAACCACGATACCGGGACCATACCATGTATGCCTGCGGGAGCAGTGCTTCACAACCACCCTGACACAAACATTATTGTAGGCACCGACATTTGCATCTATAGTATTGTAGGCGCCGTTGGGCTCCCGTATGGCAATAAGCCCCCCACATGCCTCTGGGCATCGGTAGTACTGTGGGCGCCAGGACTCACCATACCTGGTGCGCATGGTAGGGCTCCTCACATACCAACAGTATTTTTGCAGGTACCAACATCCACCCTTCCTGAAGAAGCTAACGCAATCTCCCATATGCACCTGACATTCTACAGTGACATCAACAGTATTGTGGCCGCCTACCATCATTGCTACCCTCGTCGGCGTGGACAACAAGGCTTAGAAACATCCGTACTCTCTCCCTCTCACCTATAAAGCCATCCCCTTTATCTATAAAAGGGGATACGCTTCCTCCAACAGAGGAGGTCGACTTCTTCAAGCACCAGATTCACTAGATCGATGGCTCACAATCCCTCAAGCACATGTTTGAACACCTAGCTCATAGCAGGGTTCCGGTCGCCCTCGGCCCTTCCGGTCGGACCCGACCGGGCCTCTCGTACACCCCACCTTTCTCCTTCTCGTTTGTAACCCCACTACAGACTTCGAGCACCTGGGCTCAGGAATAAAGTCACCGAACGACCCAAACTGGACGTAGGGCACGTTGCCTGAACCAGTATAAATCCTGTGTCATTGAGTGCTAGGCCACCTCCGATCACAACGTACAACAAAACTATAAATATTCACTAGTTGGTCACTTTCTGTACCGACAGACGCCTTCAAGAAGAAAATTCCACCCGATGGCGTCCCTCGTCACTGGCCCAAACAAGATCTAAGTTGAGCTTTTGCCCAGAACCCTCGCAAGTGCTCCCACATATTAGACAACAATTGCCATAGGTGCCTCATCAGGTCTCGAGAGCTAATGGCCTGACCCCGCCACCATGCTATCACTGCCACCGCGGTCATAGGCATGGTCGACACTGTCGGTCTGCCCAAGCAACGCTCTGCCCACCCCATCAAGAGGAAATTTATGCCCTCATGGGTCGAAGACGACCAGAGAGAGCGGCACAGACGGAGGGCGCCCATGGGCACGCAGCCCCACCACCAGCACGCCAGTGGCCAAACCGCGTGCACCGTGCACACACACATAGAAGAACACTGCACCGCTGCCAGAGTAGTGGCTCCACCAGATCTGGACGTGAGGTAGTTGGATCCAGCGATGGAAGACGCCCACTTGCACACAGCCCCATCGCCGGCAAGCCCGCTGCAAAACCACGTGTCCAGGGCCCCTGCACACACACATGAACAAGAAACACCGCATCGTAGAGCCGTCCCCACCTTCATCCAAGCCGGTCGCCACCGATCCACCGCCAGTGGGCAGCTCCAGGTGCAATGCCGGTAGATCCGAGTGAGGGAACACCGGATCTACCAGCACCGAGGCCAGAGCCGCATTGCCGGCTGCCACCTCCCGCGCCTGCGCCCTCTCCCAACGGGCGCCGCCACGTGCACTTCCACCTTCGCACAAGTGAGCTCCATGTGCAAGGATGGCAAATCAGGCGAAGGAAAGCCGGATCCACTGGCACCATCGTCGAATCCACGTTGTTGGCCGCCGCCTCATGCACACCATGCTCTAGGTGCCCCCCAACTGTGAGAGGGAGGAAGAAGACTCGCTAGCGCTGCCATCCTTGTCGTTCGCCGGACTCTGGCGTTGGGTTTCGATGGCGGCAAGGCAGAAAAGAGCGGGTGAGGGGGCTCGATGGCGGAGTAACCTGGTGTCGCCCGAGCCGCCCCGCGGAGGACGACATGGGGCCGAGTCTCTCCTATGTCAGTTATTTGAATGCTAAAATATAGAACTGGTTGATATCGAAATGAAAATTATGAAATTGGTAAGCATTACAGAAAAACATAGGAGGATATGTTTCAATGTGACTAATTAGATCCTCAGAAATGACCAACCTTCACTTAATTTTGACTGCATTTTTCTTTTGTGATAAGAATTTTGGGTGAACATTTGGAACTTTGATATGGCAATTTGATGTGCCTAAAAATCTTGGTTATTACACACTGCAGATATTTCAGCATGCGTACAGGCTTGATTTTGTTAGGTTTAATTTCACATCGGTAATTGATGGTAGGGGGCACAACATATAAGGCGGGGGCAGTGCTCACCTATCAGGCTAGTCTTTTGGGTTGAGTTAGGCCTAATGCTTTGGTATGTTGTGGGCTCCGGTGGACATGGGCTCGAGGGGCGCCGCCTCATGGGTATAGCGAGCCGGGCCAGATTCTGCTTCACACTCTAATAAGTGGTATCAAAGCCCATGGTCGGAAAACCTGAAAAAACTCAGGGGTCACTTGGTGACGAGGGAGCCCGTTAACATCTCGGAGGTCACATGGGTTGTGTGTGATATGGAGCGTTGGACTCGAGGCCTGGAAAACATCTTCCGGAGATCACACGGGGTTGTGTGATGTGAAGAGTTGGGTTCGCTGTGTGGTGGGGGATATTGTTAGGTTTAGTGGAGCTGGGCCCGAGGGGCGCCGGCTCGTGGGTATAGTGAGCTGGGCCGGATTCCGCTGGGCACTCTAACAAGTGGTATGGGAGCCCATGGTCAGAAAACATGGAAAATCTCAGGAGTCACATGGACTCGGGGCTTGAAAAACGTCTTCCGGAGATCACATGGGGTTGTGTAATATGAAGAGTTGGGTCCGATGTGTGACAGATGAGATTGTTAGGTTTAGTCCCACATCGTTAATTGATGGTGGAGGAGTGCAACATATAAGGCAGGGACAACCCTCACCTATAAGACAATCTTTTAGGTTGCGTTAGGCCTAAGGCCTTGGTATATTATGGGCTCCGGTGGACCTAGAGCCGAGAGGCGTCGGCTCATGGGTTTAACGAGTTGGACCGGATTCTGCTGCGCACCCTAACATATTTACCCCCAAACAAGAATAATTGTTTATGTTTATAATCCTTTGGCACACACAGAATTACGATAGCAACCAATAGCGATACATACTCAATTCGAGACCATCAAGTCTATCGTCTATTCATTAATCTTTGAAGGTATTAATTAATCTTGGTTATTACTCAATTTGCATATCTAGGAAGTTGCTACCTGGCTATCCCTGCACCCATCACAGATGACATGGCCTGGTTCAGTCTTGAAGTCTGCTGCACAACTTGCTGGATCCTCTGCAGTGATCTGCTGGCTGCGGCTACGGCTACGGCTGCAGCAGCCGCAAGGCACA